GAAGAAGAAGAAGAAGAAGAAGAAGAAGAAGAAGAAGAAGAAGAAGAGGAGGAGGAGGAGGATGAGGAGGAGGAGGAAGAGGAGGAGGAGAGGACTTTTCCTCCCCTCTTTCGCCCTCGCGCCCGGGGCACCCCGTGCGTCGACGCAACGTCCTTGGAACTTTGTACATTCTCTTCGCCTTTAGGAGTAATCGAAAAAAAGAATAAAAAAACAATCAATGATCCTCGCCCAGCTCAATCGCCTGATTCTCCTCCTTAGGCGTCTTCTCCCTCTTTGCAAAGAAAGAAGAAGCAAAGGTTACTGAAAAAAAAAATTCCGTCTACTGGTGCACGACTCCGCCGCCGCCGCAGCGGGTATTGCGCAGAAGCTGCAAACATCCCGTCTGCTTCTATGGTGTTTTTTGCATATCTGCTTTCTCATTTGGTTTTGATGGAAACTTTTTTCTTTTTGAATCCTGTTGGGAGGAGAAAAAAAAGAAAGAAAAAAAAGGCGCCTCGCATTTTGCAGTATATATATATATGAGCTGATGCTGTCTATCATCGATTGCATACCTTCTGTACACCTCTGCGTGTGGTCGCGGGACGAAACAATTTGGAATCTTGGAAACCATCCAAAGCAGCAGTGGCTGAGGTGTTTCGTCAAGCCAAAAAAAGGAAACGATGAAGCGATGTACTTCTTCTCGATTCCCATAGCGCTATTGTGATCGCAAACTGTTGCATGTGACTATATTGAATTACTTTGTGCGCATGACGTGCTGCTTCATATATAAAACGTTTTTGCCTGCCATCCCGGTCCTTGCCGAAAAGCCAATTTTTTTTTTCAATCCGTCTTGGTCGGATCGGTTACTTGGAGGACCCTTCCCTGCTCATAAAACTAGACGGACTCATTCTCGTAATCGTACAGAAATTTCCAGGGTAGAAAGATGGAGGAAAGACGGGAAACGATTTCGATGTGCAGGGCAAGACTGAAGTGCAGATCCTGAGGGTTAGGTTCGGAGACGGTTACAAGTAGCGAAATTAACCACAGCCTTTCAGGACAACGCCTTGACGGCCCCTGAATATGTGGATGAACGCAATGATGCGGCCGTCACCACTCAAACTCACCCTGCGCCTTGTGGAAGACGTACTCCTTTTTTCCCGTGGTCAGGATGCCGTCTTTGAGGGTGCACTTCCACTATAACATGCATTAGAATGGGAAATGTAGGCATGAACACGTAGATTTAGAAAGCACCGACCTTGTTCTTTACGCGCTGCACCTTGTCGTACGTACACAGGATGGTTTCACCCATTGGCCCCTCCGCTCCCTCTTCATCATCCACGTTGTCCAGTTCGTCGTCCGAATCATCAAGGTCGGAGTTGATCGCATCTTCGTCGGCATCTATTTGCCGTCTGATGTCATCTTTGCTATCCTCGTCATCAGGGCCATCGAAGCGCCCTAGGCTAGGAGGAATGGAGATCCTCGGCGCAACGCGCAACGCCGAAGAAGCGTTGGAGTGCTTTTTGCTCCTTCGAGATTGCTCTGACGCGGGAAGTAGTAGCCCGCTCTCCTCAAGCGCTACTGACTGTTGAAGATAGTCGCGCAGCTGGTGATCAGCCGCAGCCCGGTCTTGTTCACTAAAGGCATGGCGCTCAGCTACAGCCGCTTTCCAATCTGCGAGAGCGTCATCGCCAGCACCATCCGTTTGAGCAGTGCTCAAGGGAGGCTGCTGCTGAGGGAACTGCGCCTGTCCGGGACGTGGCGGCAGCTGGATGTGTGTAGGTCGCTGCTGGCCGCCAGCCATTTGCATCTGGCGAGCCTGGCCAGCTTGGATCGAAGCATTGGCCTGGCTGCCAAACTGCTGCCTCAACATGGCATCGGCACGCTGCTGTGCGTACTGAGGATTGAGGCTACTGTAGGGCGGCTGTTGCTGGTAGCTCTGATTTCCCTCGAACTGCACACCTTGTTCCTGCTTGATTGGAGTACCCTCAGTGGGCTGAGCCGAGCGCTGAACAGGCGCGCTGCTGTTGGGCTGCTCCGGCTTCACATTTGAGGGCACTGTAGGAGGATTGGCGATCTGCTGAGGGGGGGGAGCTGGGTCCCACGGGCATTGGGCGATCCCAAGCTTGGAAATGTTCTTCTGCCACGTCTAGTTCCAACAACAAAACCGTCAGCCAAAACGTGTTCACCAGAAGCAAAGCAGCGGAGTGCAAAGGCAGCAGCAAGAAACCGAACAAGGCTGATGTCATGTGACGTGGTAGTGGTGACCGAAGGGGACTAGCGCGGAGGGGAAATTGGCCGGGGGCTTGGGGTATAAAGCAAGGTCTCAAATAGAGACGGACCCGCCTCACAAGCCAGAGCGACAAAGGCCGAACCCCGCCCCCGTTTTGGCTGTCGCCCCAACACCGCGCAGGTTGCTGACATCTGCCGAACCAGGTTCCTCCTCGCCCCGTCCCAATTTTCGGCCACGTCTAACCTGTATTTCTTGTTCGAAAGATGACATTATAGACTGAGTGACCGTTCGTACGGAACGGTAGATGAAAGCGGTTAAGACGGCCGGAGAAGCGACCGCACGCAAACTGCGAAGATTGTGCCTTACCTGCTTCAGCTCTTGCAGCGTCTCCTGATCCAGCCCGGCGGCCTCAAAGTCATCCTTGGACTCTGCGATGATGCGGTCGATGATGGTGGCGTACACGCTGCCCTACAGTAGAAGTTAACCATCGTCAGCCGCCTTGTACGAGGAGCCTGTTCCGAGGTTACTGCATTTTGCCAAGAAAAGCATGAACGTACAATCGCTTGGTTAGACATGGTCGCGGCAGTGATAAAGGACACGACCCCTTATGGGCGCCGTCAGTTGCAACGGCTGTTGATGCTTGCGACGGGTTGCGAAGATGGCGACTCTGACCACCGACTGGCGCCCGCAGGTGATGAAAGGTGACGGTTCTTGCCGCCCACGGGGCCGTAGGACCCAGCGTCGCTCGCCGTTAGATGGCTCTCTACAATGCGCCCTATCCTTATTCGCAAGGCTTGCACCGGCCCAAGTCCGTATAGTGTCGATAGGGGGGTTGCTGGCGTTCGGCTTTTGGCGTGCGTGTAGTTGTTCTAGTGCAGTATCAGGCAGCGCCGACGAAAAGCGATCACCCCCAGTTTCTGCCTCGTTGCCTAAATCACGTGAGCCATTTTTGCCTGAAGTCTTCTAGCCCAGTAAGTCCACTTTCGTCTTTTTACACCCTGAAATGTGAACCATTTATTGGCGTTTGGTGACACTTTTTCTCCTGTCTGGATATTCGTAGCTAGCCATTTTCATTGCGGTATGCGTATTCAGTCATCTGTGCGGACTATGTGAATTGTGTACTCGCGAACTTGCCATGTGCTTCCCCTTATTTTGACAGTTATTTTCGCAGTAGCAACGCGGGTTCTCAAAACTTGGTACGATCTTGTACAGATTGATCAATCTAAATGACTCGAGTGCATCTCCTGCACCTAGTTTTCTAGGGCCGGTGTAGATGGCTACGATTCCATTCCCGCACGCCGACAAAATGTTGGTCTAATACCATATTTTTCTCCGAAAGTGTTCATAATCCTTTCACTCTTGACTGAATCCTGGAAGTACAAAGTACGGTGTGTAACAAATATAGTCGTCTCAGCCACAGCCACCTTGAGCAGCTATAGAAACAAACACGTAAAGTTCATTTATCATCTCTTAAATTTCTGGGTTCCTAAAACCTATCGTGGGTATCTTGGTTGTAAATGGAGTCAGGGCTATAGAGGTAGAGGCAGACAGAGATTGAGAGAGAGAGCGCCGTTAAAGAATGGTGCAAGAGGTTCGCTATCCGCTCGTAGACATGCTTTTCTGTAGTGAGTTGGGCTGCGCACTGCCTCCCGTACCCGACTTTTGTTGCTGTCGTTTCTTTTCTTTCTTCGCCCATCGCACTAGAAATAACGACGATTTGTCAGTAGAGCACTAGAGCAGTTGAGTGAAGGAATAAAGAGCGTAGGTACTTACGTCCACAAGCGTTACAGAGCGTCTTCGGGCCGTTCGGTCCTTTCCTCCACTCCGGCGAGTCCAAAGTTCCGCAATCCGTGCAGACGTACTCGTCTGCAACCTTGTTCTTCTTTTTGCGGTCCACATTGACTCTGCTCTCCCGATCTGCTAGAATTGCAATGCCGGCATCGCCACGTATCAAGGCTGGGCTTGGGGCACCTGTGCTTATTCCTTGAGAACGTTCCCCATCGCGATACCGCAGTCCTGTGAGCATTTCAATCGTCTCAATGTGTGTCGCCCCTTCGTATCGTGCCATCTTGTCGTTGATACTATCTGGCCGGGCACTTGCAAGGGCCTCGTTAAGATTCTGTCTCGTAAGGGCGTTGCTGGAAGGAATGGGACGTGCGGGAGGTGGCATGCCATCATGCTGGATATTGCTAGAGTTCAAGTCGAACCCATCGGTTCGTAGACTCTCCGACACGGTGGTGCCGTCCTGTTCTTGGCTGCGCCAGGCAGACTCTTGCTCTGCTTCTTCCTCTTGCTCTTCTTTCTTTAGTTCAGCTATACGCTTCAAGAGCCGCTCATTTTCAATCTTGTGCTCAAGAAAGGAATCCAACAATGCTGCATTCTTAGTAGGGTATGGCCTTGACATCAGGAAATAGCCTCGACAATATGGGGCTCCTCCTCTTCCGCTCGTGAAGGCAAAGGCGTCTGAGCTGTGGTGCGGGTGGCCGAAAGCCTCGAAGATCTTGTAAGTGTCATCGAAACTCCTCAGACGATAGAAAAAGCGCATCTGGTTACCGCTTGCGATCGACTCGTTGAACTCGCGAATGAACATACTCTTGTCATCCTGGTGTATGAAGTCTCCAAGGAACTTGCCCAGCAGAGCGTATGATTCGTATCCCATCAACGACTTGGAACTGGGGCTGACGTGCTGGATGCGTCCGTCTGCGCTGAGGACCATCATCACATCCCTCAGTTCCTCGAGCACCAACTTCGACCAGTTCCGCCGCTTGGTAAATTCAGTGAGAGTGCTACCCGCGTTGGCGCCACCACCCATAGTTTGAAACCCAAAGCCAGTGGGCACAGGGCCGGCGCCAACGTTCGTCATCTGGCTCTGACCGCCCATTGTTCCCGAGGAAAGCGAAGCATTAGGAGCAGTAAGGGCTGAAGACTGATCGGAAAGAGAAGTGACGGCGCCGGGAAGATGTGGGAAGGCCTTTACAGCCCCCGAGGGATCGGTGACGGGCTGCGACCCTAGGTCGGCCATGTCAAGGTCCATTTGGTTGGTCATAGCCAGCGGTGCGACCGGCGACTGGGACATGACATTGGAAAATGGCAGCCCCGGCATCTGTTTGCAGCTTGCATTAGTCGAAGTCCAGCTCTGAGTATCGTGCTCGATGCAAAGCGACGGGCTGCAGGTATTGCGATCGCCCAACATTCAGTGGGGGCAAAAGGTATTCAGGAATTGCAGAATGTGAACAACATTACTGGGGACGGGGAGGGGCGATGGGGATTGACGGCTAGAACGCACTGCAGCTGCCAGAGGCAGGCCCTGTTGACCAGTGGGATACATGCAGTGCCCTGGACGGGTTTCCCACTCGATGGGCGGACCGAAACTCTCAGGATACGGGATGGAGATCGCGATCTCGAGGGCAGGATGTCGTTCCTGGGCCAGCAGAACCGGTCTTAGCGCATATCGTACGACGCGCGAACGAGGTGCAGGTTGCAGGTGTGATCCAGCGCTTTCGCCAGGCTTGGCGTCCGTCATACGTGCCGGCTGTAGAACCGGCCACCGCCGGGCTTTAACCGACAATCCGGAGCTCGCCCAGATTGGGAAAAGTCGTCAGCCTTGCTGGTCTCTCCATCAGCAGAGCATGAGCTGCCGCATGTGGACGAACGTTGATTCTTCAGACTGAAAAGCGCACGAAGGACAAAGCCGTGGCTCGTGGGGCATGAGTTTGGGCCTTCCAGCAGCCGTGCGTATGGACCAGGCATCGCGAAACCAACGCTACAGTGTGTGCAGAAAGCAAACCGTGAGCCTGTGATGAGCACATTGCTTGCTGATGGCGAAAAGGCGTCGATGCACGAACGCTATCATTTGTCTCCCATCCAGGACGCATGCCGCTCTATGTTTTGTTGAATCCAGCTTGCGATGTGCGTGCAAATAGGTTGAAGAGTCCTGCAACACTTCGCCAGACGACGACAGAGGATTGGAGTTGGAAAATGAAGACATGCCAGGGAGCATAAATCTCTACGCTGGACTTGCACATACCACCGCTTCGATTCAACTCTGCTGGATAATGAAGAAAGAATGCGCGTAGCAGAGTAATCACGTGACATCGCCAAATCGGGGAACATGGCAGATATGGCGTTGTATCTGCAGCTGGCCAAGTGTCTTGCGGAGCCCAAGAGCAGCTGCCCGGTATCAGAACCCACCAAGGCCCAGCAGTTCCTCGTATTTACCCGAAATGCTACCCATGCCCTCGTACATGATACCTCGAGTCTGTTCAGAGCTGTCTCTCGGGCAGTTGGACAGTGCTCGCGTGAGGTGGCCGACAGCCTCGACACAGACCTGCCTGGCAGGTCAAGGGCCTGAAATACGTTTGAGCGTCCCATCGCATCTTGAAGCAGAGTCGGGCAAGGCACATCAACGGGCCTGTCAAGCCGGCAAGCGTTGGAAAGTAGGCTGAAGTGCTGCTGCGGTCACTTGGTTGCAGCTTGCAGGACCCTGTGTCCTTACGCAACAGGGTTTAGCGCAAAGTCAGGCAGCGGCCTCGCCCTCTCGACTCACTAACCAACCATCCGGCGACAAGCTGCGCCGTGTTCGACCACCGTCGTACGCTTCATCTTTCTGTCACTTCTGCCTGTTCCTGAGCAGAGCGGGCCCGAGACGACTTATCTCACCGTCTGTGAACTTGCTCTATCGTCAGATCGTGACTTGTAGTCACAGCCTAAGCTCGCCGAACGCCCGCCATAAAGGGCTTGCCGTCCCCACGGACCGCATACACCTTCACTTGGACCGCAGGCACCTTCAGCTTGCGTCTCTCCTCTTGCAAAAGGGTCTCTCTTGTCTTGCACACACACTCGTCAGCCAGCTTCTTAACGAAATTTAGGCGCTACGTAAGTGTGCGGTCGCACGTCTCGCAACCGTCAGGATGCCTACCGTAATGCCCCCCATGCCCAACAAAGAGGACTCTCAGGCAACATGGAAGTACCTCGAGGTTGGCGTGGAGAAGATCATGATGGAGCTGCAGGAGGGCATGGATATGAAAACCTACATGGGCTTGTACACTGCCATCCATAACTTCTGCACGGCGCAAAAGGGTGTTTCCTCCGGAGGCTTTTCCTCACACAACAGAGGCGGAGGTATGTCAAACCAGCCCCAGATCATGAATTTCGCCATTCCAGTCCAGCCTAACACATCGCGTCAAGCTCATCTCCTCGGCGAGGACCTCTACAACCACCTGATCGCTTACCTACAGAACCACCTGCACAGCGTGCAGGCCAAGTCGACCGGGCACATGGATGAGGCGCTTCTCAAATTCTACATCAAGGAATGGAAGCGGTACACCACGGCTGCCACGTACAACAACCACTTGTTTCGGTACTTGAACCGCCACTGGGTGAAACGGGAGATGGACGAGGGCAAGAAGAACATCTACGACATCTATACTCTGCACCTAGTAAGATGGAAGGAGGACATGTTCATGGCCACCCACGAAAATGTGATGACTGCCGTGCTTCGACTTGTCGAACGACAACGCAATGGTGAGACGATCGAGCAAGGGCAGATCAAGTCTGTGGTCGATTCGTTTGTTTCTCTTGGTCTAGATGACTCGGACTCCACCAAACGTACCCTTGACGTGTATAAACAGTACTTTGAGCAACCATTCCTAGAAGCAACCAAGGCCTACTACGCCCGAGAGTCTAAGCAGTTCTTGGCAGAGAATTCGGTCGTGGAGTACATGAAGAAGGCCGAGGAACGATTGGACGAAGAGAAGCAGCGCGTTGAGATGTATCTGCTTAGTGAGATCCTCGGCCCGCTCAACCGCACGTGTGAAGAGGCATTGATCAAGGAGCATTCGCTCATTCTACGGGAAGAGTTCCAGGCTTTGCTCGATAATGACCGCGTTGAAGATCTCGGTCGCATGTATAAGCTTCTGTCACGAATACCGGAAGGTCTCGATCCGCTTCGCGCCCGCTTCGAGACGCACGTCCGCAAGTGCGGTCTTGCGGCGGTTGAGAGGATTGCCGTGGACGGCGATGACCTGGACCCCAAGGTCTACGTACAAGCTCTATTGGAAGTTCATACCAAGTACCAGGATCTAGTGAATACTGCCTTTGCGGGGGAGTCTGAGTTCGTACGATCTCTTGACAATGCCTGTAGAGAGTTTGTAAACCGCAACAAGGTTTGCAAGACCGGTTCGTCGCGATCTCCAGAACTACTTGCCAAATATGCCGATCGTCTCCTCAAAAAGTCCGATCGCACCATGTCCGAGGAAGATGACATGGACAAGTCGCAAGTGGAAATTATGACCATATTCAAGTACATCGAGGATAAGGACGTGTTCCAGACATTCTATTCGCGAAACCTTGCTAAGCGCCTTGTCAACACAATATCCGCTTCAGATGACGCCGAGACAAGCATGATCTCGCGTCTGAAGGAGGCCTGCGGCTTCGAGTACACGAACAAGCTTCAGCGCATGTTCCAAGACATTCAGACGTCGAAAGATCTCAATGCTTCCTACAAGGACTGGTGCAACAAGACCTTTGATGAGGCTGAAATCAAGGGTTTCGTCGATGCATCTTACCACATCCTTGGAACTGGTTTCTGGCCTCTCAACCCCCCGGCAACTCCGTTTATTCCACCAGAGGTTCTTCAGAAGACAATGGAGCGTTTCTCCATGTTCTACAATGAGAAGCATCAAGGTCGCAAGCTCAACTGGCTGTGGCAGCTGTCCAAGGGTGAGATCAGAGCGAATTATACCAAGTCTGCGCAGAAGATTCCGCACACATTCCTTGTCTCCACCTATCAGATGGCTATACTTCTTGCCTTCAACGACGGTGATACACAAAGCTATCAACAACTTGCCGAAGTCACCAAACTGAACAAGGAAACTCTTGACCCATGCATCGGTGTCTTCCTGAAAGCTAAGGTGTTGACAGCCTCGGACGACCAGAACGCGCCAACGACGACATTCACACTAAACCCGGGCTTTAAAAATAAGAAGCTGAAGGTCAACTTGAATATCGGGATCAAGTCCGAAAAGAAGGCTGAAGTTGAAGAGACACACAAGACCATTGAGGAGGATCGCAAGATGTTGATTCAGTCCGCTATCGTACGTATCATGAAATCGCGGAAGCGCATGAAGCACACACTTCTCGTTACCGAGACCATCCAGCTTATCAAGAGCCGGTTCACTCCAAAGGTCGGAGACATTAAGAAGTGTATTGACATGCTTATTGAGAAGGAATATCTGGAGCGCTTAGAGGCTGATGAGATGGGATATGTGGCCTAAATACTGACACGAACGGAATTGACTTCACCACGAGCCCAACCGCTCGTTCATCACCATGCCTATGCCTTACCCGTTCGCTATTTACTGGGTACGAAAAATCCTTGTCCCAGCCCATAGGCGTGAGGGATATCCGCTTTTCATTTTGCGCGGTGGGGCATTGACGCTGTCGTTCTACTATATAACGATCATAGTTGTTGGGAACGGGACGAATTGGAACGGGAGGGAAGTGGTAGGCGCACGTATGCATATTAGTTGGACCAGGGTTTCATCATCATCGATAGATCATGAGTAGACAAACAAAATTTTGTTTTCTGCTGTTTTGACGTGGTGCATTCTTTTTTCCTCAACTCATTCACTATGCACAGTTTAGGCTTGCATGTATGGAACCGCTGACTTACGTCTTAAGCCTTTCCGTTTCTCCTCCTCCAGAACGCATCTTACGTTCCATCCAAATGAGATTCTCATGTCAGACGCCTGTACGCTCAAAAACAGGCCGCTAACCTGAAACAGCCCCGGGGGCTCGCATAGTCTAGTGACCAGAAAACGGATTCTGGTCGGCATGGAGGTCTACAAGAGAAAAAATGAAGAAAAAAAAAAAGAAAAAAAAAAGGAAGCATGGCATGTTTGGCACTGGAAACTCTTCTGGACGTGCGCAAAGATGTCGAATATGTGGATAAGCACCCGCGAACCTTGCAGCTTGACAGTGCCGGACCTCGCCCGTGAAGAATACGACAGGACAGGGCGAACTTCACGCATCCGGACGCGGCTGCCGAATCCCAGTGTGCTTGGGTGGTTAGCGGATGTTCTGCGTCTTCTCTTGCTCGAGCGTGCTCAGCGGAGCTGGCCTGACGTCGTGATTCCTGCGTGATACCTGCTCTGCTCATCGCGCAGAGGGGGTTTTTACAAGGACGCTGGATCTTGCTTCTCGACCATGGCGCCCGTGTTTCGAAATGTGTTCGTGTCGGCGTGGAAACCGTAGGGGACAGCACCTACCTTTTGCGTACGCGCCAGCGGCTCGGGCAACGACATATTCTACTTCGGTCGAGCCGCAGTTTGGAATTCGGGCCCTTGGACAAAGTTGATTAGACATGACGATGTCTGGCTTGCCTGGTTGACAAACTGCACGACCCACGGTTTTGGCCAGCGGGATGCGTTGCGGACATGCACGTGAACGCAACAGCTGTAGATACTCACGCAGGCAAGTCACCGGGCGATCATGGGGCGGACTGGACATGATGGTGGCAAAACATGTAGAAGGTCAAAAATACATCACCGTGAAAGCACGGCTCGTGAACGAGCTGTGTCACGATTCGTCGATAGAGAACCGCTGCGGATCATTCGTCTCGCAGCGTTATGATATAAAGAATTTCCAATCTGTTTCGAGAAAGACCGCCCTTTGTCACAATCATCTTTGTCGTGCTCATCACGACGGGAGTGTAAGAGAACCAAGAAAATAAATGAAAAAAAAAAGAAAGAACTCGTGCTGACTTGCTTGACACCGCCGTAGCTCAGTCCGAGTCGCTGCTGCTCGATGAGCTGCCGCCCCGGCTTCTGTGCTTCTTGTGGTGCTTCTTGTGCTTTCCGTGCTCGTACAAGCCGCCCAGAGCAGCTGCGGACCCGGCGTATCCCGCATAGCTGCTGCCACTGTGGTGCGAGGAGCCGCCGTGATGAGAGGAGCCGCCGTGATGGGACGAGCCGCCATGATGGGAGTAATAGTCCTCTTCGTGGTGCTTCTTCTTCCTGCTCAAAAGATAGACGTGTCAGCGTGCTGGACAAGTCCGGACAGCCAAAAAAAGAATGTGAAAAAAAATTGTGGACACGGAGACGTACTTCTTGTCGCCACCGATCATGTTCGCGACAATGGCACCGCCGATGGCTCCAAGGCCACCGTGACCGACCTGGTGTCCAAGCAGACCTCCCGCGGCGCCGCCGAGTAGGGTTTTTCCAAGGCCTCGCTCACCCTCTGCGGCACCCTCAGGTCCTGCAGCGCCTGGTGGCGGAGCTGCGTTGGGATCGCCATAGTGCTGGTTCGGTGGGGGAGCACCGTACGGGCCTTGTTGGTGCTGAGGTGGGTAGGGCGAGTGTCCTCCTTCGCGGTTGTGCTCGGCTCCGAACGGAGGAGGGACATGCTGCTGCTCGTAAGGGCCTGGTGGAGGTCCATAGTTCTGTGCCGGAGGTGGTCCCTGATTGTAGCCTTGATTGTAGCCGTGGCTATACGGATCGTGCTGCTGAGGAGGAGGAGGAGAACCACCGTATCCTTGGTTTGGGGGCGGATATGGACTGTGGCCTTGAGGAGGAGGCGCGCCGCCGTACTGGTCCCAGGCGCTCTGGGACTGCTGGCCGTACTGAGGCTGGCCGTAACCGCCTTGGTTATAACCGCCTCCGGGTTGTTGGCCGCCGTAGTATTCGTTACTGGCCATTCTGTGGGATAGATTTGCCAGAAGGAGGTGCAGGAGGAAGGGGACGAAGAGGAGCAGGGGTTGAGGAGTTTTGGTGGAAAAGGACTGAAGGAGACAAAGGTCGGGCTTAAATATGATGTTTCACACGCGCTGTCGTCTGTCCAGAATGGTCGGTCTCAGACTTGGGTGAGCTGCGCGTCGATCGCGCAAGAAGGGAGATCAAAGGATGGGTTCGGGATTACACGCGAAGCAACAGGCAACGAGGGGCGCGCTGCATGGTGGGGGAGAAGCTGAGCCAGACCCTGCATGTGGGAACAGCAAAAGGCAACACGGCGATGACCAGCGTCGGCATCACGCGCATCATCATTGGCCCCGGGCTGTTCAGCTCAGAATGACGATGCGTGGAAGGCTGAGTCCGAGTTGGATCGAGTTCAGATCATCATCAAAGCCCTTAAGCGGAGCATACTCGTGCTGTTGTGGCATGCGCTGACCCGTGTCCAATAACTCTCGCTTGCTTTCTTTGTTCTGAGGAAACGGGCATTCCAACGTGTCTTTATCAGTAAGACAACAGCGCATCACACTAAGCCGTCCACTGTCTCACCTGATCACGTCGTCAAGGTTCAGCAAAGCCCACGCTGTGACCTTATACGAGGTTGAGAGGCCATCTCCGAACATCTGTGGCGCATGGGTGCACCGCCACGCGAAGCCGGCGCCACACCTGCACCAGCATCGTGGGCTGCTCATAACGAACAGCTTGCACGCTGTCACTGTTCCTTGTACCTGCAAACACATACACCGCCGATTCCCGAGTCGCCAGTCCCTCTCGATACCTTGCATACGATCAGAATCAGTACGCGGGCCCGTCCTTGCGCGTCTGTCTTGCCATTCGCACCCAGATCCACCGCCCGCGGTTTTCTTGTCTTGGGTGCGCTCGCGCGCCTGCGCTCCCGCCATGGCTTCGAGTATGAATTGTTGTCTCCAATGCCTGCGTATGACGCACATGCATGCTAACCGTGATGTTTTCGTAGCCGACCAACTTCTCCAACGGGCTGCACAGGACGGAACGTGGGACTCGTACGTCTTTGCAAACTATCCTGTACGCCTTCAGCCGCTCGTGCTAACCATGCCGCTGCTAGAGACTTATGGCCCCGCGTTCTGGAAGACTTGCTTGAAAGGCTAGACAAGGTATGCTGCGTTGCTTACACAGTTCGTCGAATGAAGGTAGTGGCTGATGCGTCATCTTTTCCTACTACATAGATCGTCCTGACTGAATTCCCCATTCCCGTCCTTCCACGTGAACCTGCACCACAACAAACACTTTCTCAAGGTCAACTCGGCTCGCCCTCTGCAGCACGACCATCCAGTCAAGGGTCACAGGCGTCATCGAACAAAGAGAATGCCCCTGTAAAAACGAAATCGCCCGCACGAGCGTCATCGCCGACGCCGCAACCAGCGGCGGCATCTTCGTCCTCTCGACCGCCAGTACCATCTTTCTCGGAGGCGGACGACACCGAGAGCACATTACCCGCAGACTATCCTCCAGATCTGGCCGCGCTTCACAAAAGCATTAAAAGCAGTTTACGCAATGGGTTCCCACGCTACCCACCACACACGGTGCAGCGACTGGCGGAGTTGATTTTGTTTCCTAGGCGTCACTATCGATTTCTGCCTAGCTATCTTCACGCACTGGATCGCGTGGTCAATGTACAAAGCTCTACGCGATTGTTTCCTCTTCCGCAGGCGTCGCTGCCTATTTCGACTGGCGTGCTGAACGGGGCAAGTGCGGTTCCTGCTATCTCGAGGCATGCACCAGAGCTTGGAAGTGACGAGAGTCTGGGCGGGGCGCTTCTCACGCCCATACCGTGGCTGGTCAACAGAACCGAATCCCAACGCTCGACGGGCTCCTCGTCGGCAGGTTCGTCGGGTTCGCAAAATGACAGGGAATTGCAGACCAGCAGCACAGAAATGGTGGATGGTCCGAACGGTGCTGGCAGGATTGAGACAGTCAATGTGGTTAACGGCGTTATGACGACTGTCGCAAGCCAACCTGCGCTGGGACTGGGTGATGCTGGTCGAGACGCAGAGTCCACTGGTGCGGAAGAAGGAATGCGTGCTGATGGTGCCGTTACTCAGGGCGAGCTCCTCAGACAGGAGCAAGAAGCAGGCGTAGTTCCTTTGCAGCGTCGAGGACTACGCTTGACAGAAGAGGAGATGAGTGAGCTACCTGATGAAGAGAATTCGCGGGATGAGCAGAATGAGGACGAGCAGCCGCACGCGCGTGGCCCGGACATCATCGGCCACGAGGACATTGGACCCCAGGACCGCCCAATCGGTGGGGCTCTTGACCTGGAAGCCGCTGTGGGCAGGCGAGGGGCAAGGGAGACTAGCTTAGATCCCGAAGATGCGAGTCTGAGCGACGCTGGGGGAGGCCGCGAGGATGATATGAGAGATGCGGATGGAGATGGGGAGGACACATCTGGTGCCGCACCCCCTGTGGACGATATGGAGGCGGCGAGCGCTGATCTCGAGATAGCGAATGCGCATCCGGATTCTGAAGCGAAAATGCAGGACATATGAACTGCTGCAGCACACACGACTACCGCTCATATTTTGCATCCTTCAAACCTCGACCGCCGGTGGCCACTGAGTTGACTTCATTGGGCTAGTAATGCGATAACAGCAGTAGGTGGCTGACTCTGAAGCAGAGCCATCCACCCTTTCCATTTTGCGGAAGGGGGTCTTGGGCACATATTCATTTACTTGAACATCTGACAATTGCCATGAGCTGACTGCTATGAGGACGATAAGCAGTGTACGCACAACGCAACAACATGAGCCTACGACATGGAGTTTGGCGAGAGAAAATCTCGACAAAAGTCAAATGTCTCTTCAACAAAAGTCGAACTATAGGACTAATCTAGAGATGATCTAATGATGTGTTTTTTTTGTCAAACCTTTGCCTGTCTTGGAGCGGTTGTTGAAGGTGTACAGAATCTTCAGCATCGAAGATATTGAGTCCACAAGAGCTTGGAGCATCTCTCGAGCATCAGCGTTTACTCCGTCAAATGGATGGATCTGTAGCTAGCGGTCTACCAGCCGTTGCAAATTCACAGCTTGGCGCCTGGGTGGGGCACAATTGGTGGCGCCGCCACAAGACAACGGTCTGTGCTGGGTGTATACGAGCGATTTTCTTGGTGACCTCGGGCTCTTGGCAAAACAGCTTGACATGCCTTCCCGAAGTTGCTCGCAAGTATCTACCAAAAGGTGTATCCATTCGGCGATCAAGTAGATGTCATTTGCTGAGCATGTAGGCGACAATTTCTCGCCCTGGCAGATGATCTTTTCTAGGATCAAGAAGATCCGTGACCTCCAAGCCTTTGTATTCCAGCGTGCGATCATGGGCATCACATTGTCACGTTGCATTCGAATCCCACTGCTCGCGAACATTTTCACAGAGTTACTTTGGTACACGTACTTACGCTCACGTGTCCAGTTGGCGGGTACCTCGCTCCACTGAGCCACTTCACATGCTATTCTCCACATTCTGCAACAAAGTGCCGGGCCGAGGCAGGTACCAACTTTGGATTCGATGGAAGCATTTTTTTCCGCTAAAAACGATGAGCTTCGACGTTAGGCGTGATTTTTGCCCGTTATGCTGGCTCCGCATTATGCATGGATCACTCAGGGCAGTCAGTTTCCCCCGGACGATCCGCCTTGTTAGCGTCGGAGCAAAGAGCAGAACCCTGCACAACGTGCCAACCTCCATCCTCTCTCTTTCCGAACTTCCTGATCCAGGGATCGAGCTCTTGGTCAAGAAAAAAAAATACACCATTCATCCTACCCCCATCCCCCTCCAAAAATGATGTCAACTAGGCGCGGGGCCGGAGCTTGGACTGCGGGGGAGGCATGTGAACCTCCCTTGCTCTACGTATGGCTGTGAGCAGCCCTTCCAGCAACATGAGGATGCAAAAACAATTGAGGACGGTGATTTTTTTTTAAAAAAAAATAAACATTAATTCCTCTAATTGCCAGGTCCATATATGCTTGTAAAGACGCGAGTTAGCGTATGTATGTGTGGTTGTGTGTGTGTGATCTCCACCTATGACTCTCCAGCTCGGACGCTATCTGGAACGGATGTAGAGCATCATGGCATGAGCCTTCCCTGTGTTGTCTAGCTTGCACATCAACGGAACCTCTAGATGTTCCACGCAGGCCATTGAATCTCAGCACTTGGTGGATAACATTGATCCTCAAAGCGCAATGACGGCAATGGCTGCAACTATGGCCGCAAAAGATCCGCTCTCCAAGCCATTCGCTGCATTCGTTGCTTGCGGTGTCGTCGCCGCGGTTGCTGTTACCGATGACACTGATGGTGACGAAGCAAATGAAGACGCTGTGCTCGGAGTCGATGAAGCCTGCGCCGTCGCGAAGGAACCACTTGCGAATGATCCTGTTGCGGCAGTAGCGGCCGCGGTATATCCTGCCGCTGCTGTTGTTGTCACTGCGGCAAGCGAAGCTGACGCGCTACTCGTCGAAGTGGCTGAAGCAGCAGTTGAGCTTAGAGTTGTGCCCAAAACGCTCGCACAGTACGATTCTGCGGCGGGTACAACTTGGTCTGAAAGGAATTATGGTCAGATTGGGTTTTCCTGTCACTTTGGTATTTGCACTCACTCAGAGCCACGCCTGCACCACAATTGTTCAGCACACAGGTGAGAGCGGCAGTGTAGATGTCTTGGTAATTGGACGTCTCACAGAAGCATTTTGCATCGGTGACCGAGCAGGTCGTGGCGGAGGTGATCGCATTCTGTAAGCACGGCGCAGCACATGTTGGCAGAGACTGGAGAAAGTCCTGAGGCGAGGATTGAGGGAGCGCAGATGCTATCGTAGCAACGAAGGACAAAAGAGCCACAGAGAACTTCATTGTTTTGTCTCTTTTTCGACACACTCCTGAAACAACGGGAAGCTCCTGAGAGGATACAAAGGTAGGGGGAGTAGCTCGTCTGCTTCTGACCCAAATGTTGTCACCCTGCTCTTATTCGATAAGCTGGGTTCTGCACATACATCTCCATCTGCAAGAGCCTACCTCGGCTCTCTCGGGAAGACAGGGTTCGATGACGAGCAGCCAAATGGTTCAAGCGAGCTGTCTATGCAAGAGGATTCGCCAAGGCACCAACAGGTCCGGCTCGGTGCTTGTGCAATGCGGTGACACTGCGAACCCGAGTAAGTGACCGCTAATGCATCAATCGATGCGCACAGCATCTGGATCGTCGCTGGGGACTACCCAATATTTTTAAGCGCTATCGATAGAACACGTCTGGGCCTGCGCGTGACGTTGTTGGGAAAAGGTGGTGTACCTCAAAAGAGTATCCTGTGCCGGGTGGTTACCCGCGCTATTGAGCTTGTCTCCGGGGAAGACCCATAACCCTGCCACACACACCTTCTTCTTGGTGGCAATTGCGGACGATGCTGCTCAATTTTTCTCTCTAGACCGTAAAAAAATTTTTTTTGACAATTTTTACCGTTCGAGCACATGCAAACCGTGGAAGTTGTCCCTCGGAACAGGCTACGAATTTGTGGAACATAGCGAAGATCGCCAAAAAGAGAAAAGAAAACATTATTTCTTGATTATCAAAACGTATCTACAGTGATCTAGGGCGCTATTACTAGACAGGGTGCTTCTCAGGCTCAGCACTCGGAGCTTGTACCCGACCGTACAGCCATGCTGCAAACTTCATCGCTGGCTCGTCGAAAGCCCTCGTTGCTAAGCTCGACGCCCACAGCGTCACAGGCAGTATGATCATCTGTGCGAATAGAAAGTTTAGTTCCAGGCCAAAAGGACCCCATTTCGGTAGTCGAAGAATGCCTGCCCAGCTTGGGATATTGATGGCGTGATCCGCTCGAGCCCAGCCTACAGCGGCGTACATTCTGTCGCCAAAGGTCCATAGAATTGGGCCATGGACAAGATACAGCGCGTATGACACCTTGCCGATCCATTGGATGATGGGAAGCTGGAAGAAAGCCTTCAGCCATGGAATGCGTGGAATGGAAGCGACGACAAACATGCCGCCCCAAAATAGGTAGAATGACTTGGGCATGTACACTGCCGACGGCCTGAGGTAAGATAGATAATGCCAGCCCCATGCGTCACGCAAATTCTCAATTCCTAGGCCATATGCCGGGGCGCCTCCGAGATATAGTCCTACGACCAGCAATGTGTAAAATATAAGATCTTTCCACGGTCTGAGTCGCGTGATGAATCTGGGAAGTTGGTCTCGCTCGGCCATGATATCCAGATCCACCAAGAGCATGCCTCCGAGGAAGCATGACGCATACCAACCGTCGACCACGTACATGAAGTAATACATCAATCCTACGGTCAAACAGAGGCGAGCGTTGGCAGTGGCTCTCGCAAGAGCAAGCACTACTGTGTAGACAATGATTGAGCCTTTGAACTCGAGTGGGATGGTCCAAGCGTGGAAGTTGTAAAGCATCCAAGGCACCCCGCCCTGCTTGTAGACGAAGCTGAACTGTTTGAAGTCGTCGTACCATTTCCAGACTTCATCGATGTATCGTCGCTCCGGTTTCAAGTTTGTCTGCAGGTTTGGGTGGATGTACACGGCGGTCATGAAGAGGAATGTTGTCGCCGCGACGGGAATATAGAGGCGCAGCCACCGCCGGAACAGCGCGGAGCCCAGGTTGTCGCTAAGCTTCTCGAACTCGCCGTTGTGAACGAGCTTCAGCGGCTTCAACGTCAAGACGTAGCCCGAAATGACGAAGAAGATTGCGACCGAGAAGTGGCCCCCCCCAAAGAGCAGCCTGATGCCCGGAAGCTGCGCGAGGTAATGGCGACCTTCGTAGCCAAATGCATTTTCGAGGATCTTGTCTGCACCGAGAGAATCGTGTGCCCAAACCTCGTGGTGAAGAACATAAACCATCAGCGCAGCAAATCCCCGCAGTCCGTCGAGCCATGCCGTGGCTCGCAGTCGTTCGCTTTGTGATGTCGTGATCGATGAATACCATGTGCGAATTCGTCGAGTTGGAACATGTAAAATTTGACATAGCACATTGTAGCCAAGGATTAGGTACGGGCTAATTGGAACAGGACTTTTGACTCTTGCCGTCCATCGAGGCTTCTCGTCTAACAATGGCGAGCCCGGTGGAGTCAGGATAGAGCCCATGATCAAAGGACGAGGACTCGAAGATTTTCAAAATCAGGCGGTATTGCGGCAGGAAATTTCTTTAGCTGGCTCGCGACCAGAGATGAGGACGAAACGTTCTTGTCGAACGGCAGTTTCGCCGAATTAACGAGTCTGAACAGCTTGACACTAGCCAGTCGTGACCATGCCCACAAGTTGCAACCGCCATGTAAGCGACCCGCTATGTAGGTTCCGCGTTACGATAGTTTTGACATTCCACATCATGCATGCGCAGATCGGAACGAAGCAGACCGAACATGGCTCGGATCATTGTTTGCTCAAAGACATGTGATGCGGGAGCAAAAATCCGGGGGATGGGAAGTGGGCGGACAGTGCGGGACCAATGCTGTGGAGTAGTCGATTTTACAAGCAATTGCGGCCGCTGATATCAATGACGCTCGAACGGGCGGTACACGAACCGGAGAAGTGTCCGGATAGAGCTTGGTGTCTTCGGCGGGAACTAAAATGTAGTGGCACTTTGACCGTATGCACGAACCCCCTGTTACAACCCGATCCTGCTATCCAGGCCCGCCAATCGATCTTCAGTGAATCACCCGCTGATCTTCGCGAGGTAAGGCGTTCTATTGGCGTTCTCGGCTGGTAACTCTGAAATGCTACGGTGGGAAAAAAGCGCTTTACCAAGTTTTGCACAATGCTGAAGTTAGGACAGGCTCCGAGACACATGAGACTGGCGAGGAACTGGGCATTGTGAGATTGTTGTTGTCCATATGTCTGTGTGGCTAGTCGAGGATGTAAAATACAAACCTCGCGTATTTTACTGGGTGCATCGGGTCGGGAAGCCAAGTCCGAAGAGCATGTGGACGACGTGTTGCGCCGCGGTCAATACGTAGCAGCGATCACGACTATCGCAGACGGTGATCCGGGCCTGGCAGATGCGGGCGCCAATCGGTTGGTTCATCATCGGCGGCCAGTGCACAATCAGGACATAGTAGGCCCATGTTGAGTGATCTGCGTATACGGATGCAACGGATTCAGTAGATTCAATATCGCTAGGAGGGGTATTCTAGCATAGCGGTGAAGCTATATGCAAGGGAGAAGCAGCACGTCTCGACTCTTTCGAAATCCATCTGGTATCTTGCCGAGACTCAGATATATGCTGTGGAACACCGCTTTCGTTTTTGAAGATTGTGTGCAGGGATCGTATTTGACCACTGTCGAGTCTCCAGAAAAATGGACCTGAAGAGAGGGCGAACACCGTCCCCGATACCACAGCGGCTTCCCAGGCAGATCCAAAAGTTCATACCCATCATAGTCGCCTGCATTTTCTTTGTGTTCCTAATACCTCGAGGAGCGCTGCCCGAGTCAAAGCCGATCCAGTTCATATCACAAGCCGAGTTTCCGCGAAAGATCTGGCAGCTGTGGAAAGTCAATGTTCTTTCACTTGACGCACGAGACCAACCGCGAGCGAAAAGCTGGGTGGATCTAAACCCCGGTTTCAGATACGAGGTCCTGACGGATGACAATGACCAACACTACGTTGAGGTGGTATACGGTCCGGACGGCTTGAATCGTCCTGACATCGTCTCATGGTATCGAACAATCAATGCAAAAATCGTCAAGGCTGATGTCCTTCGATACCTTGTCATGTACGCTGAAGGAGGGGTGTACACCGACATAGACGTGGAAGCTCTGCGTCCCGTGTCGCAATGGATTCCACAGCAGTACGACCATAAGAACATTGACATGGTGATCGGTATCGAAATCGACCAGCCCGAGTTTGCAAGCCATCCAATCCTCGGAAAGAAAAGCATGTCGTTCTGCCAATGGACGTTCATGGCAAAGCCTGGTCATCCAGTCATGCTCAAACTTGTCGAAAACATCATGGCTTGGATGTCTGATGTGGCCAAGAGACAGGACGTTTCGATAGCCGATGTCAAGCTCAATTTCGACGACATCATTGCTGGCACGGGACCTTCAGCGTTCACAGAAGCTTTCCTAGAGTACATGTCATCGAAGCTAGGTTACAAGGTCGAATGGAACACGTTTCACAATATTGCCGAATCGAAGCTCGTGGCTGGAGTGCTCGTCCTGACTGTCGAAGCGTTCGCCGCAGGCCAAGGACACTCTGATTCCGGCACGCACAACACGCGTCGGGCGTTGGTCAAGCACCACTACCACGCATCTGGATGGCCAAGCTCTCATCCACGGTTCAGCCATCCCATGTACGGCGAGGTTGAGCGGTGCAACTGGAACAGGGAGTGCGTTGAGAAGTGGGATGCGGACACAAGTGCCTTCAACCAGCTGTCCCCGGCGGAGCAGACTATCAAATTAGCGGTCAAGATGGCAGTCGACGAGGAGCAGAAGCAGAAAGAAGCAGCGCTGAACAATCTTAATCAGGCACAGGGCAGGCCCGCTGAAGCGCCGGCTGCGTTCCCCATGTGAGCAATCTCGCCAGAGGTGTTTACGCGAGATGGAATCGAGGAAGCTGCCTCATATACCAGCTGAGATGGCGTTACGACGAAACTTAAATGTAGAAATATAGACATTAATCACGCATGAAGTCACTGGTGCAGTCGCCCAAGCTTAAAGCGGCGAAGAAACACGTGCAATTCGCTGTCGTTTAGGTGTTGCATGTGAGTGCCTAGCTAAGCTAAGCCATGCGAAGGAATCGCTGTTGTGCAGCGTACAAGAAGGAAAAAGGAAGAGATTATTGTGCGAAATATTGCATTGATTGCATCGTGGATTGGATTATTAGTTATTAGGTTTCAATCCTGAAGCAACTTATAGATAAGCCCCAGAATATCTGCTGAGTCAGGCTCACGTGACTTGTGATATACCCCCTCAGTCTTAGCAATCTTAATCTATAATAGCTTTATTATAGATCAATTACTTGGACTGCCTTTTAATTTTTCTATACCTGCATGTTATCGCTATTACTATGGCTATCACTATTGCAATCTATTGTTCCCTTATATGATTTAAGCTTATCAGTAGTATCCTCCATTCCTATAACTTTAATGAATTCTGCATGCTTTGATTCTAAAAGTCTTTTAGTAAGGCCATCCGCCGGTATCGAGCTTGTTGGCACCCAATTAATATTAAGCATGCCCGATTACCTTGCTTGTCTAAGCCAGTGATGGTGGATGTCGACATACTTAAGCTTAGTGGTTAACTGAGGTCTTTCGCTATTGATCAGCTTAACTGTCTGTTGATTATCACATAGGATAGTCAGTTGCTACTCAATATCTAGCCTAATTTAGTTAAATAACCTAACAAGGCCTATAGCCTCTCTTGCAGCTAGTAAGAGTGATAATAGCTTAGCTTTAGTAGTTGATATAGCTACTATCTTCTGCTTACTTGCTTGCCAGGCGACTGGCCCATTGAATAGCAATAGCATATAGCCTTGTGTTGAACGCCAATTAGTCGGATCATCTGCAAACGAGGCATCGCTTGATGCTTGGAATATGCTCGGCTTATCCTGATTGGTGCTAGGCTGATTGCTGTACTTCAGTACAAGACATTTGGTGCTATTTAAGTATATGATCACATGGTTGGCCTCCTCAGTATGCTGCGGTGATGGATTCTGGCTGAATTATGCTAGTATGCTTGCTGCAAATGCTACATCTGATCTGCTAACTACTGCCGCATAAAGGATTGAGCTAATTCACTGCTGATAAGCCATTATTTATTCAGGGCTAGCTTAGGCCTTATAGGGCTCAAATTTAGCTGTTGAGGATAATGGTGATTTAGCGCGCTTGGTCTGTCTGAATTTGTGGGTAATTCTCTCAATATAGGTGTCTTATAGCAGCCAGATCGATTTCGCTTCGGTATCTCAAATGATTCGAATATTAAGGAATGATGTTGCTGGTCCTAGCCCTTAGATCTTATACTTATTATGTAGCTTGCGCTGTAGCTGATTAAGACTAGCTTGGCGTGATGGATAAGCTATAAATAGTATATCATTAACATACACAAAGATCAGTATCTGGGTAACCTTATTGATAAACAGACATATCTTATCTAGATATGGCTTAAATCCGAGTGACTTCAGCTTGGTTAATAGCTCTATGTACCATAGTTTTAGTGAGATCTTAAGTCTGTATAGTGCTTTCTATAGCTTATAGATCATGCCTTTCAATCTATAGCCAGGTGCTGTGTGTGTATAGACTGGCCGATCGAGCCAAGCTTTAGGAAAGGCATTCTTGATATCCCCCTTCTTACATATGAGATCAAAGGCTGCAATGATTGCAAGCAGGATGCGCAGTATTCGGTATATACCTATAGCCACATATATGTCATCATATATTGGCCATTGTAGATCTCCTCGAATGCATAACCTTGCCTTATGCTTTAGAAGATAGCCCTCAGGATCTAGTTTGTAGGCAAAGACCCATTTAAGTGGTAGCACCTGCTATTCCTGAGGTATTTGCACTTCTTGCCAGCTTTCATTACGTTGTAGTTGATCCATTTCGGCTTATGCTGCAGTAATAAAGCCCTATGCTTCTGGATATTTAAGTATTTGGTGCCAGCTTTTTGGCGGTGGCTCGAGCTGCGTCCTATGTTTCCTAATTAATATTGCTGAGGCGGCTATAAATACTTATCATATGCCTAAATCAAACTTTAGGCGCTTAAATAAATAGCTATGCCTATAAGCTCTGTTATCTAACTTATTAATTAAGCGCTTGACTGCCTGAGCACTTATAGCTTATTTGGCCTTGCTTAATTGCATGATTATACAACCTAAGCTTATTCAAAGGTTGTGAAGGGCATCAATAATTATTAGCTAAGGTTATTGTTGCTGACTAGTTACTATGGTCACTAGTAATAGTAGTATATATATTTAGGCTTACGGTTCGGTCTGTACCTCTGCTGGAGGCTCCTCTTGAATCTCTTCCGGTTCCGGTGGAGGCGTTGAGGTAGCCTGAGGTTGATTAGGTTGTAGTTGCGCTTTATACTCTCAGCTGATTACCTCTTTGATCTCGCTATTGCTAAGGTCAATCTTATTTATAATTGATAGAAGGTTTAAGGAATCAGTACTTATTTATTTATTAGCTTTGTAGCGTTGCTGCTCATCAATGATAATATCTCTTATATAAATCACTTAATTAAGTTGTAGTAACTATATAATATATATATTCACAGATTTAACTCTTAGGAGATAGCTGATAATCGACTTACTGCGCAGCTTGTGCCGTTTTGGTCTTCCTTTCTTATTCTTGATTAGCACGTATGCCTTTGAACCGATTGTCTTATAGCCAGCTAAATTAAGTAGCTTACCATGCACTATCTCGTATGGTGTAAGCCATTATCTGTGTTGGATTAGTAGCTGATTCGCTATATAGATAGTATGGTCTATAAAGAAAGGCCATAAGCTAATTAGTAATTTAGATTCAAGATATATCTTTCAAGCTATTATTATGATTACCCCCCCAGATCGTTCAGCAGCGCCATTTTGATCAGATATATATGGTGCTGATGGGCGATGCGTGATACTATTTAATTGAATTAGCTTGAACCATTATTGATTCAGCCCTTGTTTATCATCTGATTGCAGTTGCCGTATGGTATAACCCCAGGCTTATGTTAGCTTTATAAATGATTCTGTTGCTTGTGCTAGAAGTAATCCATTCTTTAATAATAGGGTATATACTATATGGAAACCTGAATAGGCGTAATAGAAATACAGTACCTATCAGTTAATATTGAATACTTGCTTGATCTTGATAAGGTCAAAGTGGACCTTTTCAAAGGGATAGGTACTGGGATCAACTGGGGCTAGCTGTCGCTGATGTCGCTGTTGTCCCTGGATGCATTCGGCATATAGCTGATTGACCAGCCTTGATGGCTGTGCTGTCATCTTGACTCCCTTAGTGTGCTGCTTAAGGTGCTTAAGTACCTTAAGGCTAGGATGTTCTAACCGGATGTGCCATCGGTTGATTGATGCTGATAAGGATGGAGGCTGCTTACTGCTAGCCATTGCCAGCGATATTGATGTTGAAACTTCTGGATGTTTAATAATAGGCCATCTATCTTGCTCAAACACCTGCATGTAGCGCTCGCCGTTCAGTATTAGCCATCCGATCTCATCGTTCCATCTCACCCCCTTAGCTTTGAGTCTAGGATAAGAAACCAGATTCACGTGAAACCCAGGGTAATAGGCGATGTCATATAGGTTGATCAGTATTCGGCCTTGTAATCTATTGACTGCTATAGTAATTATCCCTATACCTTAAATTACTATATAAGTGTCTCCAACCTTGACCTCCTTATCTTGAATTAGAGTCAGTTTTTTGAATCTCTTATGATCATTATACATATGCGTGTTTGAGCATGAATTAAGGCGGAATAAGCTTATATGATCGGCGGTTATTTCTGTTGACATAGCAAGCCGTTGCACTCCAAATACAGCTCGGCCTACTGATATAATAGATCTAGACTTACCCGTATCTCGCTTAGGATACCAGTCAGGTATCTTAATATTAGCCTTATCTAGAGTCGCTTGTATAGTGTTATTGAGTTGTTAATTGCCTTATAGCAAACTGATGATCTTTGCTTAAGTAGCTTCCCTCAGCTTCCAGTCAGAGGGTGCTATTGTAGGAACAAGATAATAGCATTTGGTATATGGGTGACCCTTCCCGTATATACACCTCTATTGCAGCTTCTGCTTTGATAATAGTTGGGTATCTTACTCACTGCTTGATCTGTTTACTTTTCTTTTCTTCTTTAGTTAATATAAACTATCTGATTAATCGGCTAATATATCACTATCTTCGCGATCATGCTTGCGGCCCTGAAAAGTCACATAGGCTGCCTTGGTTGGCTGGCGCTGGCTATGCTTGCTTGGCTGTATTGCCTTGAATCGACCTACTAAGCTTACCAGTGTGAGGCGGTTTGGATCATAATCATCTCTCATTGACTTAAGCTGATTATTAAAGGCTATATGCCATACTAGGGTCACTTGTAAGGTATCCGCCGAGCTATCATTATCTTTAGGTCCATGTAGGTTATCCCTAAGTAGCTCTAGCATTGCCTTGAGCTGATCCATATAACCAGTCTCCCTATCTGCTTGGCCGAGATCGCTCATAGCACTGTTATAGAATGCTGGATTGATGGTCTTGGTAGCTAGGATGAAGCTGCGGCACGCTTATGCCTTACCTAGATTTAGAATATTCAATACTCTTAGCCTAGGTGCTAAGGCGATTTATTAGTTGAGCCACTTATTAATAGAGATCCGCTTAGGGCCCTTTGTTAGGCTTTCATATTCTTCTTGAGCAAGATCCTTGATCTACCTTATTGATGGCTTGATAGCAGTACGCAGTCTAGTAAGCCTCTGCCTAGGTGTATAGGTATTTTTAAGGTAGGTTTGATAGTCTTTATAAACTGTACCTTGAATGATCGCGTTGACTTTGGCTAGGCCTTTCCGCTTCCGCTCGTAATCGTTGATTTTAAGCGTATACAGCTATTCTTAAGTAGCTGTCAGCTGACTTAGATCGCCTGGCTAAAGTAGCTTATTGCTTTGATCGGGGTTGTAGTAGGACCATATATCTTAATCTATTGTAGTTATTTTCACCATACTGAACTATTATATCCAGTCCTGTGGTGAACTGAGCTGCGGAACCTTAGGTACTATAAGCGCCATTGCTTTAGCTTTAATTGTTTATTTAATTTCTTGCTTAAATAGTTAGCGATCGCTTGTAGAATTGCTTTAAGTATGCTTATAAGTAGTTAATATAAGAA